TCTGTTGTTGGGTGTTATAATTACTTTCTCCACGATATTTAAGATCAAATGGAAATAAATGTCAAGGACCAATAGACCGAGGAGCTATAGATCCATAACAAGTTATAATGATACAAATTTATGGTCTTTTCCTACAGTTGAAACACCCTATTTTGAACTCTCAAGACATGTAAGATTGCAAGGGCCTTGAAATAGCCAATAGAATTACCAAAAAACATATCCAATAGAAAATAACCTCAGTTCAAAATAGCCATAAAATTGCAATAGTGAGAAGAAGTGTTCTGTGACACGATAACTATGCATAGTTTAAAGAGCATATCTAGAATAAGTAAATATCATTATATTTCTGTAATATTTGTAGCAGTTTAGGGTTTATGTTTTTGAGGTTTAATGAAAGACTATCAACTGCAAAGGACTGCAGTATCAATAAAGACATGGGGAAATAGGTATAAGGTAATAAAAACAAAACAAAACAAACTGTAATTAAAAATTAAACGTACCTTAATTATATATGGTAATAACTCTCCTTTCTTGGCATAGCTTAACCCAAAATCTGTTGAACACAAAAGCTAAGGACAATAATCTTTAAAAGTGTTATAGACAAACTAGTTAACAATATCTAAGTCTTTCAAAATATGCATGTACTTGTACTGAACTGAACAACAGATTTTTTGGCTTAAACGTTTTGGCCTCTGTGTCACAACTATTTGTGTGCAGGCGTGTACCATGAATATGAAAATGTCCTTTGCACAGTTGTTTCCATGCGATTAAAACCTATTTTCATATGAAAAATCACACAAAAGGACTCATTTTCATATGTGTACATGCAAAAAAGCAAATTTGAGATGGCCTATTATAACAATCTCTGGCAGAGATAGAAATAGACTTTTACAAAGATATGTGTCATATAGGAGAACAATTTTATTAACAATTAGTAATTTAAGATAAGGTAATTTAAGACAAGAAAAAGAATGATCTATTTTACGAGGGTTAAAACTGACTACCTTTGGCCTGGTAGTTAACATAATGGTTCTTCAAATTTACCAAAAAAAATTTAGAAGAGTGGAAACAGAATTATTAAAAAAGTATATTGAATGATAAAATAGTGCCTTGATTTATTCTCCAACAACATCTTTCGAACTTTAGCTTGATGGGATACTTGAAAGAGATAAATATTTGTTATCCAAAAGGATCAGTTGCTGCAAGGTACAGTAAACAGTTCAAAAGTTGTAAACAGTAATAATGTGAGTCTCAAATAAAAAAAATGTTTCAATAGCAGACGTTTCAGACCCAGCCCTTCCTCAGTGGTAAGTTGTCTCTTGAGTTTTGATTGGGACACGTCATTGAATAAAAAAAGGAGATACCAGCATATAATGTCTTTGTGGTAAGGATACATAGCTTTTCTTTATCTTGGAACGTAAAATACAGTCTAACAAAGAATGGATGATTGAGTCTGCTTAGTACTTCCTTTTCTCTTGAAACATACTGAGCCTTTTTTTCTCGTATTATGTGCCTCTTCTCCAAAACTTTCACTGTGAAAGAGAAGGATAAATAATATCATACCTCAAAATAGCAGTTTGAACAGAAATTGCAAAAAAATAATATATAAATAATATATCAGGGGAATTAAACACATTACTTTATAACATGTTACAGTACCTCTAACAAGGTTATCGAGGAAAGGTGAATTTAATAACAAAGCTAACAACAACAGCAACAACTTACTGGCATATTCTTTCCCAGTACTTATTTCACGGACAACATAAACCTAAAAAGTTACAAAAAGACTCAGTCAGTTGTAACAGCAGTTGGGTGAGGGAATGAAAACTCAGCCACTAAAAGCAGTTCAATGCGACACAGCAAAACAGGAAATCAATTTAAATGTACTGCATGTGACCACATCAACAGTTAAATTCATATAACACACTGAACTGGCCTGAACTCGAAGTAAATAAATGTAGATACAGCAATTTAATAGGATGTATGCAGTGGTGGTCCTAGAAGTTCTCAAAAAAGGCGTGGCAAAAAAAAGCTCTTATAATAATAACCTTGCTCCTATATTTTTAAGTAATAAAGGGAAGTCCACTCTGAATATTATTTGACCCTGCAGCTATAAAGAAGAGAAACAGTGAAAATGTGAACACTGACCATCATCATAATATTTATCCAAGTATTAGCCAAGGAGCACCTGTTAAATTCTAATGTGGTAAATACAAGTAAAATTTCAGTTTAAAATCAGGTCTCACATGGTAAACTTGAACATTGAACACTTCATCTGAAGAGTGGACATTTGAAAAATTCCCAGAATAGCTTTGATCTTGATAGTAATGCACTTGTAACCAGGTTTAACACTTTATTGAAATTGTCAATGTGAAATTGATGCAAGTAAATAGTATATATCTGTTGTTAATATTTACTGATCATTGCAGTTAATTTTTTATTTTAAATTAGCTATAATTATGCGGTTTATTTTCTTTGAGTAACTTTTTTTTTTTCAATCATTGATCGTTTTCTAACCTGAAGAAAACAAATCACTTATAGTTGAAATCAAAAATTAACTACAACACATCTATCCTGGCAAGTCTGAAAAAGCTGTTTATAGTATTAATTTAGTCCTTTTTATGCCAACCAAAGGCTAATGCTCAAAACATCAGCTTTTTCAAAAAGTGACCACTCAATATCATGTCATTTAAATCTCAGTGAAATAGGAAAGGTTCCACAATGTAACTAATAAATAGAAGAACTTACAGTTGAAAATGCACCCTCTCCTAGCACCTTCCCAAACTTGAAATCTTCAGGTCTTTTTTTCTTTACCGGTTGTGGAGTTGGCGACGTGGGTGAAGGAGCAGGAGAAGACGTGGAACTTGAATTTTGCTCCTAGAATTTTAAAGCAAGGAAAATGTATATAAACCTTCCTTGCTTGCCTCTTAATGACAATGGGTCCACAAGTCTTTTGCCATATATGTGTGTTTTTCAGTGCATGTTATGTACTCAGTCCTAGGTATGCAAGCCCTCCAAGTCCCTTGGTTCCACCAAGAGACTTTCGTGATTTCGAGCCAAATTTCTTTAATAAACTGTGAAATTCTGATAAGAAGCCCTGACCACACATAATTTTATTCAAAGGCCTTTTTTTGGTAAGCTTTCTTGGTGGGTAAGGGGGGGTAGTTGGCTTATAACTAGAAAGCCTAAAGTCTGCATTTCAAAATTCCTTGGGTCTCTATTTGGAACAGATATCATATCTGACAAATTTTAGATGTGAATATCAATAATGGTAAAACTCTCTAAATGAAGTAAGTTCTAAAATCATTATATAAATATCCAAAAACTCTGAGCCATAATAATACTAATTACTGCCAAGGTTACAATGCAGCCATTATAAACGTAATAGGCCACATTCGATACATCAATATTCTAACACGGCTCCGAGACTTTCAGGACAAACTTCTATATTTGGTGTTGTTTTCTTTGTGTCCAAGTCTCTTTTGGGAAGTGAGAGACAAAAGAAACTTAAACAATTTACAATTTTGAGACAAAGGCCTCGGAGCCATGTTACATTATTGATACATCAAACATGGCCCATTGTCGTTAAGGTGCACAAATGTCTGGATTTCTGGGTGTCTACATTGTGTCCACAGTGTCAAGATCAAGGGCAATGTTATTGTACATTGTTTATTGTTCATTTCTTACTGCCATCCATGTGCTCAAACTCTTGGCAGGGTGTTGGTGGGTCGTGGCAAACAAACAATCGATAAATTATATCTATTTTTCTACTTCATTTGCCATGTCGAAAATAAGTTCATTCCCTTACGGAAGTAATTCATCAGGGTCACAAAATAATGTTTTAGTGACATGTCAAGAGGAAGACAATGTGCTTTTATGCACTTAACGGTACTGTTATCCAACCAAGTGTTCTCTTGGCAGCATTCCACTTACTCTCAGTTATTATTCGTGTACAAAAAAAAACTGGTTTAAATTTACAACAAATATAAAACCAGATCTCTGATTGGAGGCTTGTAATGGGAAGAAGTGCTAAGAAGAAGTCAAGGAATATTGAGGATTATATTTGCAGAGAGGGCATATAATTATATCCATTTTTTTTTGAGGGGGGAAGTTATCAGAATTTTTATGGTGAAAATAGTTCTCCAGAACATTCTCACAGCAAGATAGCACAATATATGGCATCAAATTTCTCTGACATGTCAAATTTTTACAATTTTTTGCCAGTTTCTATATGACAATAGTTCTAACTAAAACTTTTTTTTTTAAATTGGACATCATTTGAATGAATCCCGGGTGCCTAAAAAAATAAACGATCATATTATTTTATTTGACCATTTTTCTGGATTAAGAGAGGAATTCAAAAATGGACCAGAACATGCTACGAGAAGATGACAAGAAGGCAAGATAAAAAGCAGAAGTACGTGACCACCGGAAGAATCTCTTTGTTCAAAAGGATGCCAAATATTCACATGTGTCTGCTTTGCTCACAAAATAATCCCTCAATTAATTTTTAACCTGTCATCATTGTCTAGTACAAATATTACTTATTAGCTGAAAAATGAAGATACCGAAGATTAGATCACGATAGAAAACAGATTCTAAATTGAAAATGAAACTGGTTGGTTCGACCGAATCAACTGTACCCAAACGGATGTAAGAATATTTCTCACCTTTTCAGCAAATTTAAGTTATAATATAAGGTTAAAAAGGTAGACACGGATCGCTTGTCAAATAAAGAAAAATATTCTATGAATCAGAGGAATAACTTTACAATGTCTATCATTTTCAAGAAAAGGATGAACTTACCTCTTTTTTCTCCCCATTTTCCGCCATCTTCGTGTTTTTAAAAAAGGTTAAAAGTGGAGATGAAACATTCTGAAAATACCGAAAACTATTTTACGGAAGGTCTTCTACAAACAGAAACCGCTGACCTGAGATGTGACCTGGGTTCGAATATTCGATGCGCGTGCGCTCTGTAACGCGGGAAGTGTGTCACGTGGTACCCCGAAAGAGAAAAAGTCGTCGTTGACAGGATTGCATGACTTTTGTGGAATCGTTCGTAAAGTTCCAGGATTACCTTCCTTTGTGCTGAAAACTTGATTCTGAGGAGTTGAATTTATTAAGTTATGTCTGGTATTGCTTTGGGCCGACTAGCAGAAGAAAGAAAAGCTTGGCGCAAAGAACATCCGTTTGTAAGTTGTTCTACCCCATTTCCCCTCAGTTAAAATGTTTGAATTGATCGATTTTAACTACAAATGAGTTTGAATGGCTGTTCTTAAATGAAAACAATTTACATTTGCAGGGATTTGTGGCCAAACCATTGAAAAATCCTGATGGTACTCTAAACCTTATGATTTGGGAATGCGGTAAGAGAAACGAGAATCTTCTTGTTCAAACCATTAGAGTTAGTTAAGGTATCTCAAGATATCTTAACATACCAAGCTTAGCTTTCGATTGATAATCACACGACGTATTTAAACTTTTTGCCATCTCGAAATAATGATTGTTATTTTTTTTTTTTTGCCTGTAGCGATCCCTGGAAAGAAAGCGGTACGTAGATGTAAATAATAACAATGATAAATTTTGGATAGTTTCCTTTCATACCGGCCCTTTATCATCTGTTGTCATTGTCACTTTCTCTCAAGAACTCGTGAAAAATCAGTGGGAATATTTTCAAACATTTTATAATATGAGCATGCTTTTACTTTGATCTCACAATTCTGACGTTAGATATTATATCAATGATCACATGGTGTTTTCAAGTTAAGGCAAGAACTCTGAAACTTTTATTCAACATAGATTGCGGAAAAAGTCGGTCTACAGATCGATAAATCATTTTTTTTTTTAATTCATTGCTTTAGACTCCTTGGGAAGGAGGCTCTTTTAAGCTGAAGATGAATTTCAAGGAGGACTACCCATCATCTCCACCAAAATGTAAGAAATTTGATCTTCGTAAATAATGCTTAACGTTTTATTTTATCACACTGTTATTTGATATTTTATTTCAATTATTGTTATCACTTGGAACGTTGGGGAAAGTTTTTATCATTGTGTCCCTCAAGATGTACACATTATTAAGTGATTAGTGGTTCCATGAAGTGCTTGCTTGTTAATTTCTGTGCCTTGTCAATTCTGTGACTACTTAAACTGATTTTCACTGACTTTGTGTATTTATGTAAAACACATCACATTTACATATTTCCTTTTATTATTTATTTTTAGTAAGTCTTTTTGGCAACTTTGCATGAAGACTTCCTTGTTATTCTTCGACTTCCTGTTTCTACCCAAACAAATATATTGCTCATCAACATATAATTTTTAATAGCTGCATGTAATACCAATGATAAGTTTGTTCAACATCTTTTTAGACTAAAATACATCTTAAAATGAATCTGTTCCTGACAAGAATTTTATTTCTGACTTTTTCGTAGCTCCACTGCTATTGGATAAGCTAGGCTTGTCGAAAGCAAATCAATAAGATAACAAGCATTTTAAAACTTGACAATGAAATCTTGGCGAGGTGAAACCATTTCATGCGTCAGCTTTTTTCACATTGGAGTGCTTTATACTGAAATTATTTTGTTATGTAACCAGAACTGCCAGTTATTAGGCTAGTAAACCATAATAATTATGTTTAATATGGTTCACTCAATAATTTTTCAAATATACAGATTTGAGAATCAAAGTTTGAAGCTTAGTGTGTAAGATCTTTTTGCGGACAGAAAGAGAAAAGGCAGGCATGATACTTTGACTAGGAACTGAATTAAGTTTGTTCAGGGTGTGAACCTCAGTAGGTTAAGTCTGCATTTGAGCCTACTGGACTATTTGGCATCAGGCCATCACCTGTCTCCAGTTTCTGTAGAATGAACAGAAGCAACTAAGAGTATTTCTACTCTCCCTCAGATGGGATGATAGTCCATTGCAGGGTTACCCCCAAGACCTCCGTAGGAAAAAAAATGGTGGCTGTACATTTTACCATGTTTTATGCCTTGTGAACCTAACACAGCCTATAAGGCACAAAGAAAGTCAAATTTTTACAATATTTTTCCCTGTACTAAGGACACTGTGTAGCCTAGGTTTGAAGATTTTATAACTCTTCTGTACGTTTTTATGAACGTTGTTAAGGTTTTCGTGCGCTAAGGACTATGGTTAAATGTACCAGTTGCCATCTTTTTTCTTATGGAGGACTATATTCATTGGTATCCATTTATACATCAAGGTGGAGAGAGACACTGTGAGAGTATAGCGTCTTGCTCAAGAGCACAACACAGTGGCCCCAGTAAGATGTAGGGTTTGAAACTGCACTTGTTGATCTAAAGTCTAGCGCACTAAACATTAGGCCAGTATGCCTTCCACAAAAGTGAACTTCAATGGTTATTCCATAACCAACGAACTAGATGGATCAAGCTGTCAGTTTTCTTGCCGTGACTAGAGTGTTTTTCAGAGAGAGGGTACATGACAATTTTTCTAATAGTCCTGTTCACTGCGTACTTTTCTTATTCACATTACAATGTGATCTAATGTGGATGCAAGGCAATTTCGGGCAGAAACTACGAAATTACCCAAAATTGCCTTACATACATAAATTATTGGAATATGCTGTGATGTGATGAAGTTAAGCGTGAAAAGGGCTATTGCTTTGTGGTACTCCTTAGTGTATTTACTTGTGACTGGTTTTGCTTGGGTGGTATGGACAACTTCACAGGTCCTCTAATATTATGTAATTGAGCGATTTCACATAATCGACCTCAAATCCCATCCGATCACACAATTCATGAAAAATCGCATAATTCACAAAAAATCATACAATTTTAACAAAATAAACCATTAGTTAACGCTTTATCTGGAAAAATCATTTATCTACATGTCATTTCAAGAAGATTTGCCTTTGCCTCAGGAAAAAATTGTGTAATTTGCTTTATTTATCGCATAATAGCCTGTTCTTGTAGCATAAACTGCTACAAAAATTTCACATAATTTCGGGGTTTTTTATCGCTCCCTATCAGAAGGTCTGACTTTGGACCTCATGCAGACTAATAATATTTGTACTGTCTTTTTTTGTAATTATATTCTGTATCTACAGGTAAATTTGAACCTCCAATCTTTCACCCTAATGTATATCCATCTGGCACAGTTTGTTTGTCGCTCCTGGATGAAGAAAAAGACTGGAGACCTGCCGTCACTATAAAACAGGTAAAAATAGTTTCTACATTAACTCTAGACTGACAATTTGAACGTTATATTGTGAAATACAGTACAATTGCATGAATAAATGAAGGCAGGCAAAGCGTTCATTGCTATTCCATATTCAAAGAATAAATTTTTTCCTCTGAATTGCTATTCAAGAATCTCAAAACTAGATACTCGAAACTTGAGCGCCAAAAACTTGATTCTGGAATCTGGATTCTGGATATAACAAAGAAGACTACGTTTCAAATTGAGACTTGCAACTTACATGTTAACAGTACTTTAGATGAAACCATGACCATAATTAATGAGGTGGTTGACATCCACACATGCACTTTTCAATTTATAGAGATGTGTGTGACATACATTACGACTTTTTACTACAATAGCAAATGTCACATTGATAGGAAATGTTTCCAGTTTTAATGTTGGTCCCTCAAAGCAATCATTTGTCTGCAATATTTGTTTCAAGTCCCATTTTGAAAGGGAGAAGGTGAGCATAGGTAGGAAACAAACACCAAAAATGAATAGTGGGCCTGATACACTGCAGTTTAGTTTCTCATCATGTACTAATAGACCAGTTGGGTGGAATTCTTGTCACAACTGTTGCCTGAAACAACAGTTCATCCCTTCTTCTCAAACTCAATAATTCATCAAGTTAAACAAAGGAAATCATGACCATGACAGTGTTTGGATATCTCATCTTAATTGGCATAGATTTTTACGATTTTGTTTCTCCACTTTCTCCTTAGTTTTAGTTTTGATTGAGAAGATATATCAAACACTTAAAACAGTTTTTGACCACATTTCCAAACACCTCAAAGTTCATCAAAAATACTTCACCTCACGTCGTATTTTGAGCTCTCTTCTTGGTGTTCGGAAATGTGGTCGAACACGGTCTTTTGTGGTTGATATATTACTTAAAACACACCATCAACTTTTCAGATACTATTGGGAATTCAAGACTTACTGAATGATCCAAACATAAAAGATCCTGCTCAAGCAGAAGCATACACTATCTACTGGTAAGTGCTGCAACACAAGCCCTAGGATTTCAAATTTCATTGGTAGCACTTCGATCATGGGATGCGATTGGTATTGGAAAATTTTCTTGACAAAATTTCACACCCAATTTGGAAACATAAAAGAAAACGAAAATAGTGTGAAAATGAAACAAAACTATTTAGATAAGCTTACACATTCTCAGTGGCATAGATCTTGGCCAGTAAGCTTAAGTTTATACACTGTAAACAATGTGATATTCTCCGAAACAGGGAAATGGTTTTGAAATCAGTACAACATTACCTCTTCCCAAATGTTTTTTTTTAATTATACAAAGTCAACTTTTGTACTTCTTCTTCTTCTTCTTCGCAGTAGATTCCATGTAAGCAGATTGCTGGGATGAAAATCAACAAATGTAGCTGGTTTACCCTTTATCAACCATTCTTCCACCACCTTAAATCTGTCTCAGACTGCATTGCACATACCATGCAATGCACTTTGGGATGGATACCACATGGTGGACGGCTGATGCAAAACAACGTTTTAAGTGTCATATATAATTGAAGTGCTTATCAAAGAAATTACTCTACTTTTTGAGAATTAGAACAGGAAAAAAACTTTTATCAATTGAATTGAATTTTTTCGGCAAGGCTGAAGATATCCGTGGCAAACAGTTTTTCAGTTCCATTATTCTGAATCACAGTCACGACACGGTACCAGAAATAATCGTTACCGTGAAATTCTTGGTCATTTCCTTGTACATGTATCTTTTATTTTACACTCTAAAGCATTCCAAAGTGAAAACTCATTTTATTCAGGGCTCTCATTAAGTTTTGATTCACCTGTAGCCTTGATCTTCACACCTGTAACAAACGTGTTACCTGTTGAGTGAATTTTATCAACTACAGGCAACTTCACCCATAACATCCAGGAGTTTCATTAACGTTTGCAGCTGGAGTACAACTGGTTTTCACAGGCGGGCAAAACTATTTGAACTGAACGTCTTTACAAGAAAAACTTTCTGCTAGATGGTCAGACTAGGCGGACAAAATCATCCTCACACCCAGTCAATTTGCCAGGTGCCTGGCTCTTAATGAAACCCCAAACATCAACGGTCCACTCAACATACCCAGCCGTGGCAGGTGTTATGGGTTGCTGCCCTTTTTGACAGCCCTGGTATTGCAGTGTGCAGAGAATGTCATATCCAATAGCCTGAGGCTAGCAGATTTTCCAGTCAGGCTTGTTGATTTTGTCCGTCTCTTACCAGCTGGGCAAGAAAAGTTTCTTAGGGAATCTACAAAACTACTGTATGAGGAGGTCTTTTGGGGCGCTAGTGAGGCTAATTTTCAGGCTAGTACATCATTGTTAAAACCCAAAAGTTTGTTTTCTTTGCATCCTGGTATTGGTAGTAACATCTGTTTTTCTACTCATGAAGCCTTTGCCTCTCATATTTAAAGTACCTTTTGACAGTGGGACACTAACATAAAGTTCTAATACAAATAACCTTTTTGGTGGTGGTAATGTGCAGTTCCAGAAAATATCCATTCTCCCCCCACAGAAGGGATTTGAATTTCCTGGGGGGGGGGGGGGGGGGGGGGGTGGAGGTTCTCTAAGACCAAAAACTTTAAAGAATGTATCAAGTTTAATTGGAATTTCCATAGGGGTGGGGGGTCTTGGAAAAAATCCCTTCTGTGGGGGAGGTATGGATATTTTCTGGAACTACACAATGTTGCTAAATTGTTAATTGAATTTTATTACATTGAATTGGGTATAAATACCGAGCACTGCAAAGTGAAAATTTACCTTTTCGCTTATGAGTTCTGTTTTTGGATGCAATATTGAATCTGTTTTGTTGTTTATTTTGTGCATGAGAAATAATGTTGGGTTTTTGTGATTTTATTTTTTCAGCCAAAATAGATCAGAGTATGAAAAAAGAGTGAGAAGTCAAGCTGCGAAATTTACAGCTACATGATGAAAGGGTAGCGGTTCATACATTCGCTTACAGACATGTGGGTTTACAATAACAAGCGGAAGGATTTATCTTATTCTCTTATTCATAAGACAGTTTCAGTGAAATAGGAGCTGCAACAAGAATTTGTCCTTACTGCGATACGGCTGTTGTTGTGACAATGATAAACATTTGTTAGAAATCATGTCTGTGTTTTTAGGGAGGCTACAAGTTTTTTTGTGCTGTACAGTGTAATGAACTTAATACATGTTGATGCATTGCCAGACAGTTGAGAGGTGAACAAAGACTAGTGTAGACCTTGCTTGTCTTTGGTTTTGTTAGGTGGGATGTATGCTGCAATATTCAAAAAGATGTTTAAGTCTGGTCTTAGAAGTTTTGTGTTGAGTTTTCTGTTTCTTCTGAACTAAACTCAAAAATCTTGAAGTAGTTAAAATGCCATGCGGAGTGGTGAAGAAACATGCAGTTCTCCTGTAAGTGCTTAATTAGGAACTCTTGAGTTTGGTATAGAAGACCGAAGATCCTAAGTACATGTAACTAATCAGGTGATATGTCACTGACTTGATACATGTTACTCATAATAATATAGATAGTACATATTATATACTCCAAAGCCCTGTGGAAACTGTTTGGAATAAAAAATGCTTGAAATAGGCTATTTCATTTTGCCCTTGACCTCTGCATTAGAGCAAGTCTTTTTGCAAAACCATTCATGAGAAAATATCCTCTACCTGCATGTTCCTTATTTTCTCGTGATTTGTTTTGCAAGAAGACTGTGTTGAAAGAAGTAAAAAGCAACTTGTAAATGGCCTATTGACAGTCACTCTATTTTTATAACGTTATTTTGCTTTGTTTTATCTCGCAAAGCTGGTAGTTTCTCGTAACTGTAGTTTTGAAAACAAAGACAGGTTATGTTAAGGGAGAAGCCCCCGGATGAAGTGGTGCAGTGGGAAGTGTTAATCCCTTCCTTCCCATTTTGCTCACATCTTTGGTTCGTGTCTTTGGGGCATTTTATTTTATGACTTATGTCTTTAGTTTATATAACACATGCTCTGATTGGCTAATTCTAGGGCATTATTCTCCTTTGATGTCCACGGGCCAATAATGGGACTGCAGAAACAAAGCAAAAAGCCATATAAAAAACAACTTACTAACCTCAAACGTTTGGTCTTTGTGGGAAAATCTCATACCTCCACTTTGCCATATTGGCCTCGCTATCGCTCAGTCGATACTGCAAGGTGTAAGTTTGAGATTTTCGTGTAAAGACCTCACCCTCGGTTATTAAGTAGTTACATGTGGTAAGAGAAAACTAGCAGCTTCTTGCAATCTCTTGGAGGCAACTGCCCTTCTACTTTTTTCGCCGTTGTTTTTGTTCATGAGTTTTGAGCTTTAGTTCTTACAAGTCTCCTTAAAAGTTTGGACATAATGAGAAGGTAAATTACAGTACTTGATTGAACTTTTCTAGCTGTATTTAAATGTGGGAGACAATTTTCAGCAGATATAGCTTCCTCTGGTTTTTATTACTTACACGCTGTGCTTTCCCCTGTCTGTACGACACTTGATAATTACTATTGTAGAGAAATGAATTCTTCACTGGGACAGTGAAAGTGCATAGCATAAGAACTAAGTGATGTATGTATCAAAGTACAGCTTTATAGCTTTAATCAAACGTCCAATTATTATTAATAAATAATAATGATTATTACTATATGCCATTTCCTTTTAGTTTTGTTGTCAAGAAAATTGGAAGCTCTATTTTAAGCTTACAAACCAGTCTTACGAATAAAACAAAACCTTTTAAACTGCATGTAAAACAGCTATGGTTTAAGGTGGGTCTTGATAATTTAGACCTCCTATTTGTTTGGTAACTCCTGGCAAAGGAACTCTAAACT